CGCACGCACGCACGCACGCACGACAAGGCTGCATCCTGATTCTGAAATCGAGCCGCTTTGCATCGTCTTCTCGCAACATGATTTCCTTCGCGTGGCCAATTCCAGGTTCCCGGCCAATTTCCTACTCCAGTTCCTCGGTGCCACGCCGTTGGCTTGGTTCTGCCCAGCTAGCAACAAGCGAGTCAGTTCAAGCGGTTGGAATGTTCAAACGAGGCCAGGACCGTTGGCCAATCTTGCGCGGGCTGTCATTTTTCTGTGACCCTCCATCATCTTGATTCTCAGGCCGTTAGACTAGATGCGACCCGTCCACATTGCCTAGGTACTTTGTCTATTCAGTGTCTCTCGGGGTGCTGGGATCTTTGCGAGGCTTGGCTTGCTTGCATTTGCTTGGGGCTTGATGTGAGAAATGAGAGATCATATGAGAACCATGTGTGATTGCGACCGGTGTACATGCCTCAGGACGAGCTTTCGAGCTGCCCTTTGTGGGGACTGGCGCAGGGACTTTCAGTCTTCGATCACCACGACCGTCATCGCAGCCGGCTCAGTGACATGTAGACCAACAGCTGCCGAGTGTACAGCTGGTAGCATCATCTGATGAGATAAAAAATTTTGAGAGCTTCTGGCCACAGCTTGTGAGCAGCATCGAAAACTTCATGTTTGCCTCTGGTACGAAACTTGCGCAGGGGAGAGGGGGACAGAGAGTGGAAGGAGAGAGCGAGAGAGGTTAAAATTAGGCATGAAGTTGGCCGCATCCTCGGCATGTGTCTCCGGATCAGGTTTTGATAACCAGAGTGTAGCCAATGTCAAGCTGAGGACGTTACATTTTTGTTTTAATGCAAAGTGGGCTTGAGGGGAAGTCGGGGAGTTTGCAATACCCTAAAGCGTAGTATTGCTGAGATCATGCCATGCTATGTGCCAGCGGATCAGCAGTGGGAATGCTTGTCGCTCTTGTATTTCACGTCGTTTGGGGGGAACTGGTTGACGGAGGGGGACCGCCAGGTTCCGGTCTTCGGGCTGATCCAAATGCTAGGCTCCGAGCCTGGGCCACAGCCAGGACACTGATACGCCGAGGCAGTTGAAGTGCTGCCCAGGTGCAGTCACTCGGAGCATTTTGATACTCGGTCGGAAGCTAAGCCTTGTATTCATGGAATGGCTGTGGATGCTTTTTTTCAGACATCTGTATATGCAGGGCACCCGTGGGCGAATCCACGAATGAGGGATGTCATATGACTCTGCTGCGGCCGGAGCACATTGGTCTGCCGAAGCTAGAAGTTTGAAGACGTTCTGAAAGTGGCGTCGTAGCTGGTGTTTCAATCTATGGGAAGGAGTCCGGGCAGCATGCACTTCTGTACAGCATGGTGCGATAGCAACATTGGTGGGCCCTAGTAGCTCTAGAGAGCTAAACTAGTTGGCAAAAAGCTGGCAATTGCTTGCAAGAGCATGATGTGAAGTGCAGCCCGTTTTCCTACAGGTACAGAGCGAGAGAGAGCTGCATCCTGCACAGGAAATTAGTGGTAAGGTTAGATGTGGTCCTCATGCATGATGCACTTTGTTGTTCAAAGGAGTCTCGGGACTCCGCTGCACGGGAGGAGCAAAGAACCAAGATGCAAACGATGTTGGCCACAGCGCAGGAGGCTACACAGGCTCAGCATGGCGTGGCTGCTATTTGCAAGCCTGCAGTTGATTCTTGGCCTCCTGAGGCTAGCTTGAAGCAGAAAGTGAGTCAACTTATGTTTGCCTTGCAAGAGTCGGAGGCCTTAGCATCCAAGGTGGAGCTGTTACCCATGGAACAACGTCTCTCGCAGGCATCAACTGCGAAAGCTGCTGCTCAAGTCCAGGAATCCGCCGTTGCTCTCAGCATGTTGCCGAGTTCTGCTAAATGTGTGGCATGCATCGACGTATGGCAGGGTCCACCTGCTGCCAGTTGGCTCATGGGGTGCACGTGTTTTTGCATCCACCAATGCCCACCAACGAGCATTTCTGAGACAATGCTTGTGCTTTAACAGATAGCGAAGCAATAATCATCGACAGTTCCGCGTGTCAGTTGTGCATCCTGGCCCAGTTGGAACTGTTCGGGTCTCGTCCAGGATTCGGAAGGCCGGGAGGAAGCGTACGTGTCCAGACTAGAACGAGCTGAAGCCTTACGAAGACCCCAGCCTCATGCTCTTCGTAGGTGAATTCTTTCGGACACTCAGGAAAGAAGCCGCAATTCCACGTTGGCCCAGGAGGTGGAGATTGTGATTACCGGTATGCCTTCAGACTACCCCGGCCTGTCTTTTTGAGGCTCGGCACCTGGTCGCCACTCACAAGTCGCTGGAGGCAAAGCCAAATGCCACTGCCGCATCCTTCGGGGCCTGTGTGGTTTAGGCTGAGCTTGAGCAGCAGTATGACACGACCCGCGCGTGGCAACTCTGTTCTGCAGAGATGCGAGCAGAAGGCCCAAGCCTGGGCCCAAGAAGCCGTGAAGAGTTGGAAGACTCTTCGTGGGCCCTCTGCTTGCAGGCAGCGGCTCCAGGCGACCTGAGCGCGCGGTTTCCTGAGCAGAGCAGGGCGTCGCTTGCAGCCGCCAAGCTGGGTCTGTGCAGACCCAGTCGATGGTGAATGAGTCACCTCACATAGCTTCCAGTCTGAATTGGTTGGTTCAGACTCACTGTACATAGACTGTCTCTGGCAATGATTGGCCCGAGGCATGTCAAACGGCAAGCTCTAATTCTGAGTTTGTCACACTGCCTCAATATGAGGTTCGGCAGACTTCACCTCGGTTCCTACCACAGCAACAGAGAGAGGGAGGGAGAGAGAGAGTCTGGACATGAACACAGGCACAGCGCGAGAGCGCAGGGTGAGGGCTCCTAGTGTCCCCGAGCCCAGACGCCCCGCAATCAGACATTTTGGACTAGGGCGTGTGCGCTTGCGAGGGGGGCACGGTTCTGCTCTCCTTTGGCTGTGCAGAAAAGAGAGCGAGAGGCAAGCGTGTCATAGTTCCTGCAAAGCCGACCCCAGAACAGCATGGGTGGGCCATAAGGCCTGGGAAACTTGAGACCTTCCCCTCGCCCCGGAGGGCGAGAGAGAGAGAGAGAGAGAGAGTGAGAAAGGGGGCAACCCTCGCCCATAGCCCTGCCGAAAGAAAGAGAGCAAGCAAGCAAGCAAGAGGCAAGCTGCTCATACCGGGGAGGAGAGAGTGATACAGGCAAGAGGAGTCACCCCAGCGGACTTGGAGGAACTTGCCCGAAACCTCAGCTAACCGAGGACGAGTGGACCAGGCGGAGCCACCCTGACGTTGTGGCGGCCGCCAGACTGAGAACCCTAAACCGCCGCCCAGTAGCAGCTCGCCACGATCCCAACACCGGAGCTGCATGGGGAGTACATCACACCGCGGTATATTGCCCACCCGCTCAAAGATGGCTCTGGTACAGACGTGGGGGCCGTGGGGCACTTCCCTCCCCCATGGGCTGCCTTCTTGCGTCCCCAAACAGGCGCTTTTCTTGCGCCTGCTGGCTTCGGAACCCACATTGTCATCGTTTTGAGCCTGTTGGACAGGCAAGAAGGTGGTGATGCTCCTGATGGCTCCTCTCGCTACAAGGTTGCCCTGTCAGTGTCCAGAGTTTCTTGCACTTCGCAGGGTCGCTCCTTTGCTGTTTGATGGAGGTCGGTGGCCGGTACAAAGTTGCTCGACCACTGGAAGTATGGAGCGGAGAGCCGCTCGAACCCGAAAGCCTCATCTTTTCTGCCAGCACGAAGCCGCATGTTCCGCCGACAGCGGTCTCGCCTTGGCTGAAGGGTGTGATGCATCTTGTAGAGAGGCTCCTGTATTTGGGCACCGGCAAAGCGCATCTTCCTGATACCGAACACTGAGAAACACTGCGCAATCATGCATAGCCGGTCGGCATGTGCTTCGATCCCTAACCGACATGAAGAGGAAGTGGGATGGGGGTGGAGCCCATCAGCAGGGCGTTTTGCAAGACAGACGGATTGCGGGGTCGAACTTGCGCATAGAACTCGGCATTCGCGTTTGTATGCGGCAAACAAGTTTGGATTCTGACAACCGCGAATTCAACGAACTAGTGATGAACAGACTCAGACTTTGCATGATCCGTTGCATGAGCTGTGCACATCGAGACACACCTTCACAAATCGCGTATCTCACACACTGCATATTGGATCTGCCACCTCAATTGCTGAACGTATGGTCCATGTTGTCTGGATCACGCGCAGCCTTCACACCGGTGCAGCAGCAGAGCAGCTCGGTTTCCAGCGATGATGCTTGGTCATGCGGCCATGCGGAGTGCTCAGGAACTTGGACGGCACGCGATTGGAAACCTTGGCGGCCAAGAAGGAGCCAACTTGTATGACTGACCACAGACACGTGCCGAGCTCCTGACAGGACACGGTCCTTCTAATCCAATTCTCCGGGGACCAAGGCAACGATTTCCGGGGAAGTCGGGGCGAGGCACGGACCGTGCAAAGAGAGAAAGACACTACAGGAGCCCGCGGCTTGGTCATTCCGCAGCCTGCCGAAAATCACCAAGCGGGATGGATCTCGCTGGAGGTGCACCCAAGGCTTCAAGGGCTCCATGTCTTCTTCGCTGCCTGTTAGGATGCGCAGTGGGGCAGTCGAGTGCAACCGGCATTGGATGCCACAGTGCTGCCAGGCAAGTGGGTGTTTTGAAGTTCCACAAGTTCGATGCAATGACTGCGACGTTGCCGACAGTGATGGTATGTGTTTCAACACCTGAACTCCACTCGACGACAGCAGTCTTCCTAACCAACGACTGCACTGTGCGATGATATCTCCTTTAGATGTGCTAGCGTAGTCGGTTTCTTTGTGTGTAGCAAGGTCTGCGCTGGAAGGGGCATGACTTGTGTCAGAGTGAGAAGTGAACCCAAGCCAAACCCTGAACCGGAGGCCGAGAGCCCTACATGCTTGCACCCTGCCCAACCCCTTCAGCCCAAACTGGAAAGAGTGGAAAAACTGCTTCGGTTCGAGATTGTTGCATCGAAACTAGCACAAAGCCTCACGGCCACACGTCGCACCAGAAAAAACATACAAGCGTCAACAGTAAAAACACATCGAGGACCAGCACACGTTGGCAAGAGAGCACAGTCAAAACATGAGCCGTTGATTGATTTAGCCTCATCAACATGAGCAATCAAGATAGAAAAAGTTTGTGCACTTGGACAGCTTCCGTCTTGAGGCAGAATACATGTAAAAGACATTTTAAGCAGTACCCTACATGCTAAAGGAGAGACTCCCCGTTCTCGATTCTGTTTCTGGCATGCTTCAAATCATGCAAGATGGACCTTTCAGGGTGCTCTCACATCTCTCGCAGGCGGCCGTCAAGAGAAGTAGAGACAACATTCAAGCTGGCCCGGGCAATGTCAAACCATGAATGACTAAGTAGTCTGTGCAGGTAGTTCTCCTTCATGCTGGATTCAACGGGCAACTTCTGTTTCGAATGCAGCCAAAAAGCCTTTGAGTCGCGCAAGAGAACATAGACGCGATCACATAATGGCAAGTGCATGCACCACATCATCACATTGTCAGATTCCGGAGCTTTGGGCATTTGCCCGTGAATCATGTTCGTCTGGTTGTTGGCGTGACACCGCTGACGTACAGTGTCTCTGGACCTGAAGTCATTTTCCACAAGTACGGGCTTCCGTAGATCTGAAAGCGTTTGGGGCTGGAGTGTGGAAGCAGAAGCCGGACAAGGCTTGAAGAAGTGGGCCATGCCACTTCCAAGTTGGATCCCAGAAATGGAGCTTCACAGGTCTTCAGGTCCGGCTGGTTCCGAGGACAGCAGCGCAGACATGTGTCTAAGAAGCGTCAGTATGCAGTTGGCCGGCTCTGCCGGCAGTCAGAGAAACAAAGCTGTTTGTTTCGGCGATTCGTTGCAGGCTCTTGGGACCTTCGCGCTCGCTACACTGTGCGGAACCCCGCAACTCTTCGCCAAGGCAAGCTCGCAGGCTGGCCAATGGGCGCCGTACATCCCATCCTGCCACAGGTCCTGAGATTAGCTCTGACTGGGTCGGAGAACTAAAGGTGGGCGGTGAGGTCCAGCGCAGGGATTCCTTCGTCGTGCAAATGTGATGGGATGGTACGGGTGGTACGTGCGCCAGGTTCTGCTCCTTGACTTCGGTGTCATCGCTGGGAGTGGAAAGGACAAGGCAAGAATATCATCGCGATGCCTCACGCATAGGGAGAGGGTCTGTGTTGCTCGGCAGGCCCGGCTGCGCGCACTGATCAGTGCTGAGGATAAAATCGGCTGGCTGCAGCCTCAGCGGCTATGTTCGAAGAGACCTGACCGGTGAGATGCCCCGTTGCAGGATGAGTCCTGAAACAGGGGACGGAGACCAGCTGTTGGAGCCTGTGAACCTCCTCAGCCGAAAGGCAAGGCTTTGACCCCTTGATGATGGCAATCTTCACTCTTGCTTTGCTTTTGCTGGAGGTTGTCGAGATGCACAGGCAGTCTCTCAGACAGTCTTCAGCAGGTCAGAAGAGTGCTGAGTGCACCACCCCCGCAGTTTTGAATTAGAAGTCATGGATTTGCCTGAAGGACTCAGAAAGTCGTACCAGGAAGGGGGCAACTGCCCTTGGCAGGCCACCGGAACTGAAGATGGAAAGAAATCCCTTCTCTCTTGCGGGCTAGGTTGGTGCTACCTATCGCATGCTGGAGAAAGCCGTCGTGCGCTTGGGGCCGGACCTGAAAAGCCAAGAAGTCTTCAAGGCGCTTCTGAGAGACGCGGCCGCCGTTTTGTTGCTTTGCCTCGCGCCTCCTGGGCCAGGTCTCTTCGGGTAGCTTGGTGCTTGTGAAGGACATGAACAACGTGGAGATTCCGGGAGGGTGGCAGAAGTCTGAGATTTTTGGGCGACTCTCACTGACCGAGGGTACTAAAGCTGCACCCCCCAAGCAGGTGTCCTGTTGCCTTTGTGAACGTGGAGGAGGGCCCAGAACGGGGTCGCACGGGCTGGGTCTCAAGCTGAGATTCGTGTCGACTACAAGCCTGAAGCTTCCATGTCTTGAGCTCTTGCACCAGCCTGACCGAAGCTTGGGCAGAAGACTCTTGAGCCCTTGCCCTTCCCTCTGCAGCACCCTGCTGCTCCCGTCAGTTGTCGCTCGCCTCCGGTCGCTCGCACGTCCCAAACTGTCAAAGCAAAGCCGCAAAGCCGCTTGTGTTCGAAATCCGTCGCAATGCTGCTCGCGCTGCGCCGCTCGCAGCGGTTCTTGCAGACCCCCTCCGAATCCCTTTTGGCTTCAATTCGCAGGGTGAATGGTGTCGGTGGGTTCCCCAGGCGCCAGTGCGGCCAGACCAGAAGTCCGCTGTCAGGTCTAGCGGCTCTTGAGGAAAAGCAACAGGCAACGTTTCGACCCGGCTGATCTCTTCATCGTTGAGTTGCATAAGCCGAAAAGCCGAACAGAGTTTCAGGCCAGCCGATCAATGAAGTTATTCCATGTTGTTCCAGCATCTGCTGGGCTTTTGCAGTGCATGGGCAAAAATCCGAGGCGAGATGCACGGCAAAGGATGGTCATGATGTTGTGCGGCCGTCTCGCTTGTTTCACAGCAGTAACTTCTCAGACTTCCTGCACAGCCCCTGGTGTAACAGATGGACACTCGGGATTACAAAGAATACGACAAAGTTATTCAGAGATTGCGGGAGCAAGGCGCTTAGACTCTCAAGTTTACAGGCGGCTTCTGGCTTGAAAGGTTAGCGCACTTGGGTTTTTCCATCAGGTCCGCAGGATCGGATGTCTCTGAAGAATCCAGCCCTGCCGTTCTTCAGGCCTTCTGCATTCCCCTTTTCCCCACAGCGTCTTTCGTGGAATCGGCAGGCGGCCGTGATCGTGCAGCTGAAGAAGGCTGCGGAGGCCGAGCGACAGGCACCAGTGATACGTGTTCTTTGAAACAGGATAGGACTGCTTAACCGTTTAACTTAGTGGAGGCTGAGGCGGCGGATGCGGCGGAGGCGACCAAAGGTCAGCAGGACATAGATGCATACGTGCAAGAGGCCGGAGGTGGGTCGGCGCCAGCTCATGCATCAAGCCTGACAAATGTGCGACAGGAGAGGGAGGAATGGGGCCAGGAGGCAAGTTGGGCCTGATGCATTGGACATGTGACGATGACCTGTATCGAAAGGACGGAGATGGCAAAGACACCACGGTCTTTCCTGCAGTCTGCTTCTCGGGAGCCTGAAGTGCCTCCAAGGTTTCTTTCGGATGCCGCGTCTCTCGTCAGGTGGATCCCACTTTCGTATCGCTGAACGCTTCCATGCAAGATCTTGACGCGTTTGCACAGGATTGCCCTTCCAGGCTGCGGTCTACAACTGTCATTGCACTTTACGCTGCATGTGCCAGGACGAGCGTCTCCTGATGCCAGACAAGACGGAGATCGACAATAGCAGCGGCTGGTGCTGGTGCTCTTGACAGAGCCCCAGACTACATTCTCGGTGCAGCGTGAAACTGTTTGTCAAGTTCACAGAGATCGAGCAACAGTACGTTGGTGCAGCTAAGGTGGAAACTAGGCTCAAGAAGAGTCCGGTTTGTACCTTTCGATTGTTCAAACAGAATTGGGATCACACGAGCCCGTGCTGCAGAGCTGCTGAAGCGCTCGACTTTTCACAACGATGCCCAGTTGCAGAAGGCGACTGTGGCACAGACTCAAGCATGTGCCATGCAGTCTAGTGAAAGTTGCCAGTGCCTTGTTCCTCCCATGCAGGAAGAACCCCCTCCCAACAAACTCTTCGACATTCTACATAGCACAGATGCACATGTCATCCGAGAGCCAGATGACGATCACCAGCATTACGGCCGATGGCAAGCATTCACATCATTTGCATCGATGGAACCTATAGAAATCTCGCAATGTTCTTTGCCGCCGTGGCATTTTTGAGGTGCCAGTTGAGGTGGCGCAGGAAATCGATGAGACTACTGTGCAGATTCCAACAAGATGTGCCACTGTTTTTGCATGTGTGGGAGCCGACGGCTGCAGCCCTAATTGAGCGACAACCAGTACTCACCTGCTTGCAGCTCCGGACGCCGGTACTTTGCCATACAATGCCAGAACGATCACACTGCCCGAAGTTAGCATTGCGCGCGCTGTCGGGGTCGGTGGAGCAGCGAGGAGCGCCCACAACAAGCCCGCGGGAGCCCTCAGAAGGCTTGCGAAGAGTTACCAATCCCAGAGCGATTGTAGGAACGACAGCTGCTGCAATCGAGGGCTCGGGCTAGGAGTGTCGCGGCGTCCGTGAACACCAACGTGGCATCCGGACGAGGCGGAGCATTTCGGCATGCATCTCGGATTCCCTGCATGCGCAGAGGGTGTAACAATCAGCCCGGTGATTTTTGTCAAACGGGCAGCAGCCACCTTCATCCGATTGCTCTCGTGCGCGCGTTCGCGAAGTGCTGCCCCTTCGCAACGGGCAGCCTGTGGTGCTGCCTTTGTCGGGCGGTGGTCTGGGTTTCTCTTTGTCGCAGTCCTGGCGGACTCGTCTGAGGTGCCGCCACTCGCCTCGCTGGTTGCCAGTTGGAGTTTGGGTGTGCTAGTGGGTCTGGTTGCGCCCGGTAGTCTGCTGCGCTGGGACCGCACTCGGATGTTTGCAATCGCGGGACGGACGCGCGCAGGCGCCAACAAGCGTCTTTCCACTTCTGGCCCTCTTGCTGCCTTTTGGCTCGGGGCGTTTGTCGAGACAACGTGTGCCCACGCATTGCCCTCGATTATGCAATTGCAAACCCAATCACCGACCCACGCTACAAATCTGCGGCACCCCTGGGCATCCGGCTCGAGTCATGCGACGACTTCATGCCAAGATTCCCAGCGCCAGTATGCGATCACGACATACAGCAACACATGGTCAGGGGGCTCAGACAGCAAGACTGGCTGTTCAGATTGGGCCGTCTGCGCAGGTCCAAGCTGCCAGTTGTGTGCCATCGGAACATCATGTTCCCGACAAGCACGCTATGAATTTTTCCGACCCCAAGCCACCACACTGGTAGGGCATGCGAGCAGCCTGGAGCGCTCCGGCGAAGTGACGATTCGACCAAGGCGCGCGGCCGCCAGAACAGGCGCCGGCACATCAGCGTTGGCGAATCGGAGTGCTGCGTGGTGGAGCAGGACGAAATCGTCGGGGTCTAAGGGGGTGTACGTGTTGGGGGGGACCCCCTAGTATACATCTGCGGGCCCTCACCACGTAGCCCGACCCCCCCACACATTACATTTCTGGCTCTGCTGCTGGCTTGTCCAGGATCTCCCCGTGTATCGCCAACCCCCCCACAGAATACATTACGAACCCCCCCACATAAAACATTGCCAGCCCCTTGTGCAGTGTCTGCCATGCCCATACGCAAGAGTTTGTAAGGATGCGCAGACTCACACGAACAGCCAGCGAACAGCGCACAAGAGCAGGCACAGAGTCATGATTGCCACGGTGACATGCGAGCGACATCTGACATGCGAATGCGAGGAGAATGCTTATGTTGCTGCTACTGCTCCTGCTGCTGCTGCTGCTGCTGCTGCTGCTGCTGCTACTGTGGCACCGGCGACGAGGGAGGACGGCGTGAGCCCCTACTCTTGGTTCCCGCAGACCCAACCCCACCAGAGAATGCAATTCGGCCCGAGGTTGGGTCCTCGGTCTAAGTACACCAATGCCGAAGTTGGGTCCGGAGTCTTATTGCACGTGTGCGCAGATCCAACCCCACTGGAAAATGCAATTCGGGACGAGGTTGGGTCCTCAGTCTAAGTACACCAATATATATATATATACATACATATATATATACACATGTATTATACACATTTCAATTCTCTCTATTTCTGTCCCCCGTGCGTTTAGTAACCTTGTGCATGCCACGACATGGCTTGCCGCAGGCAACTGAAAAACGCATTCCGAACCCTCACAAACATGGTGGGGCGTGGCGCAGAAACCTGCATGCAAAGTTGCTAAATTTTTGCGTTCGGCTACGCGGTGAAGGCCGGCCGACATGTGGAGGGGTCCCTCGCCCTTGTATACATTTCCTTGGCTGGGTAGTATCGAACGTCCAAATCTGGGGAGATCTTCCGGGTTGCTTCAAAACCCCCCACAACATACATTTCTCTGGTCGGCCCCGCAGAATGGGGTCTCTCCTGCTGTACAGCTGCCGCTCGGGTTAGGTGGCCCATCGGTCTGCGATCTACCGCTTCCGGCGCTCCTGTCGCTAGTGGGCCTCGTCGTGGCTGGATGCCTCCTCCAACGCTTCCCAGCCGATGCGGCGCGGCTGCTTCGCCGCGCCGCAGGCAGGAATGCCGCCCCCGTCGCGGCCGCCTGCACGGCCACAGCACGAGTACGCGAGTCCAGCTTTCCAGTGTGGACATCGTGTCGTATGCCGCCCGGC